GGCCAGAAACGATGGTGCCTTCGGTCCGTCTGCCGGAGTTTCCTCCCAGACCCAGATTTCATCAGGAGGGACAGTTGTCTCTGCCCTTGTAGCAGCTACAGGTGTAGGACTGGAGGTACCTGGGGGGTGAGGCTGGGTGTCTGGGAGGTATTGAGTCACCTGCTTCAGCCTTCTCCTCACCTGCTATGCTGGCCCAGACTTGCAGACAGGCTTCCTGCTTCTCTTTCCTATTGAACACCTCACTTCTCAGCTGCGGTTGGAGCTCTGAGCTGTGTCCTCACTCACAGCCTCCTGGCTCCTTCCTCTCCTTTTACCTCTTAGCAGCCCCTTGGCATCCTGGTCCTGTTGCTGGAACCCCTCTGACGACTCACACACAGATTACAGACGCGACATGGTCCTGCCTCTGAGCATCACGCACGCACGGGGTCTGACCCGTTGGACTAGGCTGGTGCGATGGGCTGGCCCATAGGAGCCATGACGGCAACTCCACACCCCCTGCTGCCTAGGCCTGGCTTTCACCCCCATGCCTTGCTGCCGAGTCCTCCCAATCTGTGACCTGACCGTCACAAGTCAGGACTATGAGAACCATTCTGGACCAGGAACGAGGGCCCTATGGGGAAGAAAACAAGGTCATCAGCCCCAGAGGGTCACAGCCCCCTGGAGACTGACACGTTACCAGTGACCAGAGTAGGGTAGGTAGAAACACAGGTCCTGGGACTGCGTGGAGAAGGTGGGAAGCAGAGAGTGGTCAGTCCCGGTCGGGGCAGCACGACCCCTGCTCCCCCTGGGCCACCGCCTTCCCCACTCTTCCTCCCCTGCGCCTCGCTGCGGGTGCTGCTGACTGGGCACGTCCGGCCAGGTCCACTCCCCCAGGGTCTGCGTGGGTCCCTCCTTCATCTCGCTCAGGTCTCCGCTGGAGTGTCAATCCTGTCCCCTCTATCCTGCCTGCCCTCCACCTGGGCTCTTCCTGTCGCCGCACACTGCTTATTCTTTGGAGTGCTCATCACCATCGACACATTATGGGTGCTTATTTGTCTGCTTATATGCTTCCATTCTGCCTCCTCCATCTAGAAGGTGAGCCCCCACACGGCAGGGATTTAATATTTCCACTGATGACTCCCCAGCCCTCGGAGGCCACTAGGCACGTAGTACATGCTAATTGTTGCGATTAAATGAATGGGTGAGTGAGACACAAGGTTTCCAGCAGATAGGCGGTGGGCTGACCCTGAAGGATGGACGCTCAAAGGATCCAGACCCAGGTTGGTGCCCAAAACAATTAGATCTCACATCCCTCGGGTCAGCTCACTCCTGCCCCACAAAGGACTGCAGCTTCCAGCATGAATCTTCTTGTTTGGCCAATTCCACAACTCCCCACAAGGCCTCGACCACCCCCGGTAGCCAGGGTGCTTGTTAATTAATGGGGTGAATTTTTAAGCAACCCTAACCTCTCAGAGGCGATCAGCAGTCCTATCATGGGAGGAGGTTTTCCCAGGTCTCTAGTAAGGCAGCCTTAACCATCACGTAAAATTCATCATAAAAGCCCAAAGGGGATGGTAAGAGGACGTCTCCATTTGAAAACTCTGATTATTCATTTGCCAGTGCGAGCTGGCACTGAGACACGGGGAACATTTTTACTTATTTTTTTGTGGTTCGGTGTTTGTTCTTGGGATGGTGTTGTTATTTTTCTCCCAAAGACTGATTGGAACCTGCTCAACAAGTGGGGTGCATTTGTTCGCTTAGGATTTACATCACAGAACAGGCAGAGGTGGAACCTTGCAGGTTTCCTTTTCCAAAGCATGTGGGAAGGTGGATGGAAAGGAAGCCTTAGGAAGCCATAATTTCTTTCTGAGTTGGCAAATAGGTGGGTGTGAGTGGATCCATATCTGAAAGTGACAAAGGCCAGATCATTCCTTTCAGTTACATTCCCTGAAAAGTCTTCACATTCTGCTCAGATAGGCCAATGGGAATTCTCTCTAGAGGATACCCTGAAAAATGTCCTTCCTTCCTATTTGCATAGTCATAAGTAACAATACTTACTGAGCTCTTACTAGGTACCAGGCATTGTTCTGAGAATGTTAGTTGCACTGTTTCGTTTAATCCTCACAAAAACCTTATTCAATAAGTAGTTTTACTATCCTCACATAACAGATAAAGAAATTGAGGCATACAGAGGTTAACTTGCCCACCATCAGTTATTAAATGGTGGAGCTAGGTATAGAGACCAGAGACACTGGATCCAAAGCTATGTTAACTATATCAAGGCATTAATATTAATGTTAACATATTAATACTTATTATTACTAATAGATGAATTGATTAATAAACATGTTAGTGAACAGATACTTAAACTTATAGATCATTATTGCGGTGGAGTCGGCTGTTGGTCTCCTGATCCATTTTCTTTTGTAATTCCTGGCTGTTCAGCTCAGACTACACTTCCCAGAATGCCTTAAAGAGAGATGTTGTCATGTGAGCAGACAGAGCAGCGGAGCAAGAGTGGGAGTAACATGTCCAACTTCTGAATTGCTTGGTTAGTAAGAAGCATGGGTCCTGGGCTTTGCCAGTTTCTTCCCACTGAGTTCATGACTGGGTGACTTTGGACGCCCCTGGCTGAGGGCAGAGCTGCACCCCAATCCCACTCAGCCTGGTTCCCATGAGGATTTCATGGAGCAGAAGCGGCCAGCCTGCCCTACTCTGTCATGTGAGAGAGTTACGCCATCCTTGGCTCTTCCAGTGAATGAAATTTTGAGTTTTTTTGTTATGGAAGCCTAGCTCTTACTCCAAATAAAATAGTGATTTCCCCCTCCCTCCACCCCTTCATAGAATCCAAAAGTCTTTGCCTGTAAAGGTAATCCAGACTAACTTTTGAATCTTAAGACCCCATAAAAAAAAATCTCTTGAAGACATTTACTTTAAGGGCTAAGTTACTTGGGCTTACTTTCTATTGAGTCAGCCCACTCTATCTTTAAAAGTTCTACATTAAAACATTATTAAATTTTAAATTTCAAGGTAAAACTATATCACAGTAATTCCCAGGCAGGGTTCCATTCCCCTTAAGGTCACATAAAGCAACTGTGATTCCCCTTCCTACATCAAGAGCCTTCCTTTATTTATTTATTTATTTATTTATTTTGGTGTCATTAATGTACAGTTACTTAAACAACATTATGGTTACTAGACTCCCCGCCCCCCCCATCATCAAGTCCCCACCACATACCCCATTACAGTCACTGTCCATCAGTGTTCTAAGATGCTATAGAATCATTACTTGTCTTCTCTGTATATACTGCCTTTCCCATGTCCCCCACCCCACTACATTATGTGTGCTAATTGTAATGCCCCTTTTCCCCCTTATCCCTCCCTTCCCACCCATCCTCCCCAGTCCCTTTCCCTTTGGTAACTGTTAGTCCATTCTTGGGTTCTGTGAGTCTGATGCTGTTCTGTTCCTTCAGTTTTTGCTTTGTTCTTATGCTCCACAGATGAGTGAAATCATTTGGTATTTGTCTTTCTCCACCTGGCTTATTTCACTGAGCATAATACCCTCTAGCTCCATCCATGCTGTTGGAAATGGTAGGATTTTTTTTTCTTCTTATGGCTGAATAATATTCCATTGTGTATATGTACCACATCTTCTTTATCCATTCATCTACTGATGGACACTTAGGTTGCTTCCATTTCTTGGCTATTGTAAATAGTGCAGCAATAAACATAGGGCAAGAGCCTTCCATTTTCTGAAGACAAAGGTCATGCCCCATGAGCGCTCTTCTGAGCAGAATGTTCTGCATTCCTTCATCATTCTTCTTAGAACAGTGTTTTGAGATCCAGGTACCAAATCTCTACCACACTCCAGGGTGCTGTAGTCCTCAAAGTGTAGTGACACAGGACAAATCCCAACCTTGCATGTGTTTTGCTCAGCTTGGAGAACAGGATGGCTATTCTTATTTCTATTCTTATATTCATTCATCTTGATATGAAATCAGCAAACATTTATCCAGCTTTCTCTGTGTTCTAGGATGCTCAAAGCTTGTAGGCATGGCTTCAACATATGCTTAGTGTGGCCGATTTACTCTGAGCCTCATGTGGCTGCTCTGCCTTATTCTGTTCACTGTCCTGTGTGGACAAGGTGCAGCTGGTTTTTGGACACAAGTGTAGGGCCTGATGAATATCCCTGTGCAATTCCATACAATGGCATTTAATCCCCACACCGTCCAATCGGACTGTCCCTGCTTGATTCCTTTATCCAATATTTCCTCCTAGGAAATTGATGGAAAGGTAGACGCAGTTTTGACAGAGAACCTCTAAAGAATAATTAGCCTTAGTTTGTCCTCCACAAACCTCGTCATTTATCCCCAATCTAGTGTTTAGTTTCTGTGCATGAAAAAAAATGGCATTTTTAATACCAGAGAGGAAGATTTGCTTGACTTTGAGAACTACATTACCAAGATCACTATTGTATGTAGCTATTGATTAAAAAACGCCTATGTCATATTCAATATAAAACCTTTAAGTCTCTAATGCAGGTTTAAATAATTTTCTGGTATTTGGTGAAGCAAACAGTTCAGTTAATCAAAATTAAAGACATGTTAGAGGGCCTTATGGAATGGACATTGGTGGTGTATGAGGGTATTAAAAATGTCTGCAGAAGGAACAATTCTTAGAGGTTTCTTCTGGCAACGTAACTTTGTTTGCACAATCTCCCTTCGAGTTCACTCCTATATACTATTTTTTCCCACTGCATGTGACCATGTCCATTCACCTATCCCCTCATGTTCCTACACACACACACACACACAGAGACACACATGCCAGAAGTTCTGTTTTCTATGGCTATGCCTTCTGCAAGTTTTCACCTTTGCTTCTGGCTGTTCCTGTTAGTTCTTTTCAGAAATCCTCTGATGATTTCTGCTCCTCAGACCTGGCCCCGGGGTGAGCCAGGCCATTCCCTGGCTTCCCAGCAGGGAGGATTTTCTGCATTTCTGATGTGTTTATTCATCTTACAGACGGATCATCTTCCCTAGGACTACTCGAGACTCTAGAAAATTCAGTAGTCCAGGGACCAAGATGGAGCAGAGTTAGAGGAGACAGAGGAGAGAGGGAAGACCCAGTCTTCCCATTATTCTCAGGAAACCTGAGAAGCTGTCGGTATTCACTGATGGAACAGGGTGAGATGGCCCTTTCTCCTAATCCCCTTTCTGCCCGGCAGTGTTATTTCAAAGCTGATCACATGTTACATTCTGTTTGCCTTCTCTGATCATTCTAAGTATAATTGTCTGTGTTCTCGTGGTGTTTGTTCATAGTTCCATTTTAACACTCATCACATTATATTATAATGGTTTATTACCTTGGACTGTAAGCTTCTCTAATGCAGAGACAGTACTTTAATATTTGTCCTTTTGAGATCTTGTATGGATCTCAATAAATGTAGGTGCTCAATAAGTGAAGGAATAAAAAGAAGGAAAAGAAAGTGGTTTCTGTCCTGGAGAACTCAGGGTCTGACAGGGGATGAATGTGTATTTCATCTAGATCCCACAAAAATAACAAACAGTAGGTTTTCTTTTGGCCCATTTTACAGATGCAGAAACAGTCCACAGAGGTTCAGCCACTTGCTCCAGGTCCCACAGGAAGTAATGAGCAGACTGGAGATTCACACTGAAGCTGGTGTTCTTCCCACAGCTGCAGATGTGCAACTGACTGTGAGTACAGTGGTTTGAAGGTCTCCAGGGCCGTAGATGGACTCCATGTTCTGCGGGATTGAGGCTGTCACCGGGGAGACTGTAGGTTCTTCCGGATCTGGGTTACATGGGGGAGGCTCAGAATAGAAATGATGGAGGGGATGGCCTCTCAATGATCAGATATTAAAGCAAGACTGTGCTGGGACCTGGGATTACCTGGCTGAAGTAAGACCATCAACCTCTTGATAGCAATCGCCGGATTCATCTGCCTCTTCCCCGCCGGGGAGCAGCCTGAGAGGCCTGGGAGGGAACAGGAGACATAGTAAATCCAGAATATCCATTTGGCAGAGTGGAAATGCCCTGATGTTTGATCCCATTTACTGGAATAAGACTTTATATCCAGGCATCTCAGCTTTTAAATTACCTGTCAGAAGCAATTTTGCTGTCTGTTCATGATGTGAGGGGTTGTCCTTTGAGGGAAGCCAATATGAGGTCGGTGTTGGATGCCCCTCCGTCTCCAGGAAGGGGAAGTGCTTGGTTTCACTCATTTGGCAAACCACACTGAGCATCTTGGCAGCACGTGGTAAGTGCTGGGGATACAGACAGGGATAAGACATGGCTCCTGGTTTAAGGGGATCAAAACATGACAACGCTAACAGCTATGGTTCATCTGCTCCTTTCTTCAACAAATATTTGTGGCACATCTACTCTGTGCAAGGTGCTGTATCAGGCACAGAGAACTATCTGCAAACAGGCTAAACAAAAAGCCCTGCCCATTGGAGTTTACATTTTGCAGTTGGGGGAGAGGTAGAAAACAATGAACACAATAAATGGGTGAATTATATAATATATTGGAATGTAATAAAAGCTAAGGAAAATGCCGGGGAAAGAAAAGAAGAGGGTTATAGAAATTGGTAGTGCTGAGAGTGGAAGGGAGGGTTGCAATGGCAAATAGGCTGGTGGGGTAGGTATCTTTGAGGAAGAAGTATGGGGTGGAAAACATGAGGCATGGAGGTAGCTGGTGAAAGCATGTTGGAATAGCCCGTGCAAAGGCCCTTCGGGTGCCTGGTGTGTTTTGAGATACAGCAAGGAGGGCCCGTGGCTGGAGAGGAGAGAGCAGCGGGGAGAGTGGGAGATGAGAGTAAGGAGGAAATGGGGGTGGGCACAGCGCTTAGGGCCTCGTAGGCCATTGCCAGGACTGGCTTTGATTCTGAGTGAAATGGAGAAGCGGCTGGAGGTTCCGAGCAGGGGAAGGACGTGATCTTACTTACAGTTAGAGAGAATTATTCTCCAGTTCCACCAAGGGTTGGAAGGAAGCAGGGAGACCGGTGAGAAGCCTGTCGCCTAAGCCAGGTGAGAGGCGATGGTGACTGGGTCCACTAGGGCCATCGAGTTGCTGAGAGATGGTCAGGTTCCGGAGAGGCTCTGAATGCAGAACCAATGAGATTCCTGATAGGGCAGATGTGGGATGTGATAGAAAAGGAGGATCAGGATTTTAGCCTAAGATCTGGGAAGGTGGGTGTTACCTGTTACCTTCCTTCCGAGACTGGGAAAACTGTGTCGGGAAGAGCTTTCAGTGGAAACCACTTGTGTTTTGGACACATTACACTGAAAATACCCATTAGGCATTGAAGTGGAGAAGCCGAGTGGACAGCTATCTGTGCGAGCCTAGAATGTGAGGGGTGTGTGGGCAGACTGTGGAGGAGGTGCCGACTGGAGATGCAAATTAATTACTTACTAATTGCCAGCTCTGTATCAAGCACCTTATATACTTCATCTTTCTGAGTTCTTAACACAACCCTGGGCGATAATATTTCCTATGTGAGTGAGGCTTAGATAGTTTTAGGCAGCCAGCCCAAGGTGATGCAATGAATCAACTGTAAAGCCAGGTTTCAAACTCAGAGTCCCTCTGGGATGGGCAGGGGGCGCTGGTGCAGCGGAGCCAGCCAGCCTGGGTTATGCTATAGCCTATGAACTTGGGAGCCGAAGCAGGTTTGTCGTGGGGTGAGGGTGTAGGGCCACTTAAAATCTGAAGGATCAGAGAAACATATGCAGTTCGTGTGGGTGGGATGAGTTAGGTAGGTCCCAGCTCTAAAGGAATCCCAGGCTGTCAGGCCCGTGGTGAGGAAAGTTGGCATCAGAGCCCCAGGCTGACAAGAGCAGGAGAGAGAAGCAGGGGTTGTGGGGTGCCTGCTGGGTGTCCTGGCCTTTGGTGGCCTAGCCTCTGCCTCTCTCTGCAGCTCATGAGTTTTCTAGGGCCACAGGGCCTCACACAGAGCTGGACCTTTTACTTTAAATCACTCTCTGTATGACAGACTTGAGGTGTCAGAACAGCTTGGTAGGCTTGCGGGTGACTTCCCCGTGGGAAGGGTGTCTCCAGGGCCTACGACAGGCCATTAATGGGATCTATTGAGACCTGACCCTGCCCTCCCCAGAGCCCTCTCCCCTGGAGCAGGTAAATAATGAAAGACAAAATGAAAATCCTAACCAGGTCTCCACACCGTTCTCAGCTTTGGATAATCATTTTTGTCTAAAGGAGCTCCTTGCCTGGATTACCCATGAGCACTGGGGATTGGCCAGGCCAAGAATAATACGGCCAAGCGAGGCTTCACAGCCCATCCTGTTCATGGAATCTCAAAGGAGAAAGGACCCTAATTTATAATTCTCTGGCTGATGCATTAATGTCTCCTAGCATTCCTGATAGACATACATACATACATACATACATACATACATACATACATATATATATAGCTTTCCAATCTCTTCTTGGATGTCTTCAGTAAAAGAGGCTTTCTTAGACTACTGATAATTAAAAGCAAATAGGCTTTTAAATTAGATGGATGTGGGAACAAGTTCCTTCACTGAGCCCTCCATTATCTGAATAAAGGACTTTTTAGCAAGTTCCTTCATATTTGGCTTCAGATTTCTCATCTGAAATGGCAATGCCATCCTGAGCTGGTTGTTGTGAGCATCTTGTAAGGTAGGATAGTTTTCCAGTCCAGAGCATGGACTGTGTAGTCCCGGGGTCTGAGTTCAGTTTTCTCTTCTGCTTGAAACCTGTGTATTCCAGGACAGACCTCAGCTCCTTCAGCTTCATTCGGCTCAGCTCGAAAAGGAGTCAGAACAATGCAGGCAGGCAGGGCTACTGCCAGTTAAAACATCACCTGGATATAAATTAGAAAAAGGTCCAAGCAGACACAGCTCCACACTGAGGGCTCAAGACATGGCAGGCACGGTGGCCTCCCGGCCAGGCAGTCTGTTTCTACAGAACATCCCCGCATAACAGTTCATGGCCACCTGCTCACTGCGTTACTGTGCTGATTCATTTCCATGAGCCACTCAGAACATTGTCTGATGCACATGAAAGGCACCCAATGAACATTAGTAATTATTATGATGTGAAAACATTAGTTCTTAATGGAGCCTGTTTTATTCTCAAGCAGCTTGGACTCTTTCCCCTGCTCAGATTCTGAGATGAAATCTGCCTTCTGACAAACAGGTGGGCACCTTACTTTCTGGCTTCACGAGCCGTCCGTCTTCTGCAACGTTGGCACGCGGCTTATTCTTGTGGAGGACTGACTGTGGGGAGCTCTCCCCCCTCATTCTATCTGTGCTTCTCTAGACTTCTCCGCCTGACAAGTCTTAGAATCCACTTTCCCATCCCGTGAATCTGAGCTGGTTGTGTGACTGGGTCTTTTGTGCCTCCATTCTTTCCTGGAACTCTGCCACCATGATATGAACAAGCCCAGGCTAGCCTGCTGTTTGATGATGGCTGGTGACCTCTGGTGGGGTTCAGGACTTGCCACTCTAAAATATGGCACCGTGGCATAGTGAGTATTTTAAGGTGAGGGATTTGAGAAGACAGTGGAGCCACGGAGCTCAGGGTGACCTTCTCCCCGCAAGGCAAGTAAGTCGTAGAACCCTCTTGTTGAGAGGTACCCCCCCATACCCGCAGGAAAGAGCACCCTATGCTGGCAAGAGTCCGAACATCAAGCCTTCCTAAGTTTCCCTCAGTTCACTACACCTACTCATGTCTTTGCTCTGTCATTTTTCTCTACGACTGTCCACGCTCATCAAGTCTGGCATAAAATTGCTCAGGTGGAACTGCTTCTTTGGGTCTTCATTTCCTTATGAAGGCTCCTCTATCACATAAAGTTTACATTAGATAAATGTATATGCTTTTCTCCTGTGAATCTGCCTTTGTCATTTAATTTGCAGACCCAGCTAGGGACCCTAAGGGTCCAGGAAGACTTCGCCTCTTCTTCATCTTCATGGTTTTGGCTGATAGACAGTCAACCACAGGCATGAGTGAAGCTGTTACAGATCCACCATGCCCCAGCCGACCCACCAGCTGACCACAGACACAACAGCGAGACCAGCTGAGACTAGCCAAATGCGGTTCACAGACTTGTGAGAGAAAATCCGTGTTTACAGTCTGGGGACTGTTTTTTATGCTGCATTATTGTGGCAGTGGATAACTGATACAGGTCTGGACTTATTGGTGGCTGTATCCAGCCTGGGTCCCTGTTGCAGACAGAAGTCAATCTGCCCCATGTCATTAATAGCCTCTTGCCCCCTGCTACCCACCTAGATCTGAATCTATAAGCCTTCCCCACATCTCTCCTGGGTCCTGCCCCTAAAACCAAAGTGATTTTCTGCTCCCCACAATTCTTTCCCAGCCACCTCCTGGATGAGACCATGGGGACCAGACTTGGTCTGGAGGAACACAGCCCTGGCCCTGAGGCTTTCTCTCTGCTGTTCTTGATTTCAAAGGACATTTGATTCTGGCACCGCCGCACACAGTTCCGGGCTTAATGACACCTCGATGCTCCCCCTGGAGAAGCTCTGGTTTTTCCAAGGGTATATAACTTAGCTATTATGACTCCCTCTGGGATAAAACTGGGCAAACAAGTCCTAGTGCCCGGAGGCAATTTTGATTTTTAAATTATGAAATAAATCATCCTGAGCTTTAATGTTTTCTGGGGGTTTGTTTTTGTTTCTCTCTTTTGCTCCAAAAACTTCCACAGTAGCTTTCTGGTTCAGGATTATTTATCACTTGGCTTTCTTTTCACTCGAACTGTATTTGCTTTGTAAAATGATAAATCACCCCTCTATACTCCAGGCCAGAACCTGGTGCCCAGCGGAGCAGGCGGGCATGGAAGGGGTCGGAAGTAGAACAACAGAGGTGAGCTCCACTTCTGCTAAGGGACCAAGATTCTGGGCATAGAAGAAAACAAGGAAGAATTCCCAAGCTACGTTGCTGTGGGGATAAGCTTGAATTCACATTTGCCCAGTGCCGGAGACCCTGCTTTGGGAGATCTGCTTTTCTAATGATGTCCTGGTCTTGGTTTCCTCATTAAAACAAAAAATCTCTGCAGAGGTGGTGTGAACACCAAACGTTTTAAACCAGAGGTGAGGGAGACACCTCCCAGAAGCTAAGGAGTCATTGTTCAGGGCTCTCAGATCCATGAATGTTCCAGAATTGTCTGTAGAGTAGATAGATCTAGTGTCTCTCAAATTCACATGTTCCTCTTTTTATGAAATGTATTGGGAGTCCCCAGGGCACATGCAAGATTCTATTTTCATTAAAAAAGCAGAAGTTTCTTTAAGAGCATCTCTAAATTCATCACAGATTTTAGCCAGTATCCACCTTCTCAATTAGTGTTAAATACATGACTTCTACCATGAGGGAAGAGGTTAGCTACCTTTCACTTTTTTTTTTTATAAAAAGGAGTCTTTGCACTTGAAACCTTTGGGAAGCAATGTCAGGTTCCTGAGCATGGGGTGTGGGCGATGCTGGAAGGGCTTAGTGTTCCCCTCTTGGGCATACTGGCCAGATTTACAGATATGAATTAAAGTAACTGCAAAGATCGCAAGTCTGGGAAAGCCAGACAGTCAAAGGCAGGTTCCTGGCTGGCTTAGGGCCACGGCCCCCAACCACGTGGTACCTGCACTGAGGACTGACACCCCGAATCTAGAGGAGAGAGAACTGGGAGGGGGTGACAATATGGCCACTTACTGGCTAACACGCTGATGACAATCTCCAGACTTCTTACCAGGTGCAGTAGCTCTTTTCTTCATCACATAAGCCATGTTATCCTGGTATTCTGTTACTTGTGGCCAAAAGCATTCCTAACTGACAGTAAGTCTTTGCTGAGCAGGAATCTGTGTTGCTCTGTGCATTTTGAGGTTAAAATTCAATAGTAGGCACATCTCGGCTCTGCACAGTCCTGAGTGCAATGCCTGTTTCACAGTTGGCTCAAAACATGTTGGGTTGAATTACATTCCTCTGGTCCCCCCAAATAAGAAGCCTGAATAAACCTAACTAATCTCACCACTTGTAGTCTCTGGCAGTCTGTCCTTTGCACAGACACCAAAATTCCTTTTCCCTAAAACCTCCCATGGTGCCCCACAGGTTCCATAATAAAGTCAAAAGTACATTTATAAGGAAATTGTGTCTCAACAATTTGACCCCACCCGTTTTTACCTTCCTCTCCCTCTGTATCCCAGCCAGCCCCCCTTATTCTACACGCCACAGTTTCTGCACTGTCCTTTCTCCAACCGGGCATAGTACCACACGGTTCTTTCAGCTAGAATGCCGGTCTGCCTCCCCTCTTTGAATACTGACTCTTTCCTTTGAGGTCGAACGCAAGCTGTGCTATTAGGTCTGTTCATCATAACTGTAGGAGCAAATGCTTGCTTGAAAAACGTATGATGGGCAGAGGAGGCGTGAAAAGAGAAAGTCTATGGGATTTGGAAACTGACAATGGATTCAAAGATAATCAAGCCTGGATTGGATGAGAAGTGGCCTGTGAATAAGTCCATACATTTGGGATAATTTAAAAAAGATTAGCACTGGGTCTGCCCATTCGTTCAAGCAAAATAAATCCCCACCATGAACTTTCACTCCGTAAAGCTATGAGAGCAGATGCTCTTTGGGGAAAACACAGCTCGTGCTGCTAAACTATAAGGGTCGTGCTGAGCACCCACCTGGCCAGAGCCCCTCCCTCCTCCCACGGGGCTCCAGAAAAGCATGAATTGGAGAGCAATATTATCCCTAATTGAAAAATTGTTCTTGCACCTGTGAGTTGTAAGCTCTCCGTGCTGATGGGGGTCATGTGGCCATTTATGGCAGGGCTGCTAGAAATTCATAGCCACGCAGGCATTGGTGTCCGGCTCCTGCAGCCTGTTCGTTGTTTACTGCTACTGCATATGTGCATTTTGTCTCTTTCTCTGGGGGAAAGTGGGTCAAGGTACCTGAGTGCGTACACCCTCCGCCCACATTCACATACACGGAGTGAGCTCAGGTCCACCTAAACCAATCATGTCTTGTTTGGTCAGGAATTCATCTGGAAGGGAAAATTTCGGGTAAAGCCAAATGCCAAGCAATTCATTTTCTGGCTAGAAATGTGTGGAAATGGCATTAGGTGTGTTAGCAAGGGAAATGGGGAGAATCAATATTTACTGATTATGTACAGGATACTTTGTGGACCTTCTCATTTAGTCTTTGTGAAAAACTGAGAGGTGGGTGTTGCACTTCCCATTTTGCAGTTTAACAAATGAGGCACTGTGAGCTGATGCAGGTGACCTGAGCAGGCTGGTAGAGGTGGGGGCACTGGCTTCCCCACCCATGTCAGGCTAATGTCCCACAGTTATTTTCGTCACTCAGTCACCACTCCTCACGTGCCTACCATGTGCTGGGCACCCGTCTGTAGCAGACCCAGGAGACACCGGTAACTGACTGCAATGGCTGTGACTTTCAGAAAGGATCGATGAGCCAGACAGGTCTTTGCCACTTGACTGTGCAAGACCATAGTCCAGAGGGGTTAATTAACTTTCCCCAGGTCACAGAGCAGAGCTGGAACTTGAACTTGGTTTATCCTGGCTTCAAAGTCCATGTTCCCTCTAGGGAAAGCAGGGCCTAAAGTGCTTACCCTTCAGTCAGGCCACGCCGATGTCTCATTTCCATACCCACAACTACCTCTTGGGAAGCTCTCTCAAGTCTGAATTATACTTTCCCATGTCTCAGCCCCTCACTGCCTACTGGGTGGTTATTCGCCAATCCAATAAATTAGTCCGTGCTAAGGTTTTAATGGGCACCTAAATGTCTTGTAAGATAGCGTATTTGTATTTGAACAGCAGCTTTTAATTCAGCCCTCTTCATCTCGGCTTAATTCAGCGAATACAACAAGGTTCCCAGTGTACAAGGTGCTTGGTTATGTGATGGGAAACGTGAAGTGGAAAAGGCCCAGAGTGTCTCTTCAAAGGACTCAGGTTCCTGAGCAGGGGCGGGGAGGATGTACACAACTACTCTGAGCACACAGATACATGATGCCAAGTAAAAAGTTAAAAGCTTATTTTAGAAGCACAAGAAGGAGGCATGTGGCTCTAAAGCAAATGAATGACCAACGGATTAAGAAAAAAATAATGAGGACTCTTGTCTCCCACCACTAAATAAAGGAAACCGAACTCCAAGTTCAAAAGCATTAAGACAGAGGTAATCTAGCCTCATAGAACATGGGTTAAAATAATGAAGGGGCCAGAGGTTCCAAATGAACCAGCCACCATCTGGAACACTTGGACAGCTCTCTGATGAGTCTGCTGCCTTCCGTCTTGATTCCTCCAATCTGTTCTCTTCTCTGGAGAGCTGGAGGGGATGTTAGAGAAACTCAGTTCTGATCATTATTCTCCTGTGATTACCCTCCATTGCCTTTAGGATAACATTCAAACCTCTGGACGAATGAGAAGTGGTGGCAGAAATAAATAACTGGAATGTTGGCGAGGGCGTCCCTTCCTGCTCAACCATGCACCTGCTATGTTACACCTGGTATTGTGGCCAATCATGGTGCCTGTGCTGCAGGAGGGCCAGAGACAAATTTGAGCCCATGCAGAGGACTTACACTCATGTCCTAGGAAGAAGGGGTAAAAGACCAAGAGATGTTAACAGTGAGACGACTGGGAAGTGGGACAGTGAGGGAGAGAGAACAGGCTAAGGCCTTAAACTCAGCTTTCAAACCCCTGAAAGGCTTCCACGTGGAGTAAGGTAGCCTTGTCCTCTTCCTGTCTAGAAAGTGGAGCCAAGATTAAGTGATGCAGCCTAGAGGGAGTAAGACTGTGGCTTAACCAAAGAATGTTCCAAAGACCAGAGCCGGTCAAAGACACGTAGAGGGGAGTCTTTTGAGGTACCAACTGAGGGTTTTTTGCCTGATACCCTCCACTTGTCTTCAGCTACTGAGGCTCATTTCCCAGTCCTACCACAGTCATGGCCTAAGCCAATGATGCAGCCGTGGTTCTGTATGGATCTGAACTCCTGGAAGAGACACAATCTGGACAAACGAAGCTTTTGTTGCGATTGCAGCTGCTTCTGTTAGTCTGAGAAACAAGGTGATAAACTTTTTTGTTTTTGAATCTCAGTGCTAAATGTTGAATATCAAGAAGAGAACCTCTCATGGAATTTAAACCAGAAATCAATAGTTTGGGGGAGGGGGATACATGATGATGTAAGAGCTGATTTTACCGTTGTTGATTCATTTACTTTTTCAACAAATATTTACTGAGCACTTATTATGTGCCGGATTTTATTCAAGAGGTTTGGGAAATAGAAGTGAGCAGAAACAAAGCCCCCTGCCCTCCTGGAGCTTATGTTCAGCAAGGTGGACAGGCAGCAAAACATAAACTTGCATAATGCATAGACCATACACTATGTTCGGTGAGAAGGATGATGGAGAAAATGGCAAGGGGGTGCAGGGATGCTGGCTGGGATGGAACGGCCATTTCAAAACTGGTGGTCAGGGTTGGCCTTCTTGAGAAGTTGAGGTCTGAGCTGAAACCTGAAATGTGGGAGGTAGTTGTTTGGATAGTTGAGGGAATAGCATTT